TATTTCAAACATTATTATACTATAAATATGATAATGATATATGTAAACAAATAAAATTATATATATATAGAGAAAACTTCATGTCAGGCCGGCCTGACGGGCTGCCCCGTCCGGCCGAGCCCGTTTGGGCACCTTCCCGGTGGAATTTTTTGATGAAATTTTTTGAGCATGTTCCTCATCACGTCTAGTTTGTCCATACCAAATTTCAGCTCAAAATTTGATCGGGAAGGTCGTCAAATGATTTTTGCAAGTTAACTGGTCCGGAATATGTATTTTCCTGACCAGTTAACTTGCAAAAATCATTTGACGACCTTCCCGATCGAATTTTGAGCTGAAATTTGGTATGGACAAACTAGACTTGATGAGGAACATGCTCAAAAAATTTCATCAAAAAATTCCACCGGGAAGGTGCCCAAACGGGCTCGGCCGGACGGGGCAGCCCGTCAGGCCGGCCTGATGAGAACAGCCCTCTATATATATATATATATATATATATATATATATATATATATATAATGGGGTTGAGTGGGGGCAGTTGCCCCCTGCCCCCATAGTAGATACGCCCATGTTTCTATCTCTAATTTGGATTCGTTGATATTATTGAGAAGTGGTGGACATTCAGTTTCAAGGTAACAAACCATAAAATGATGGTGATGACACCAAGACAATGATGTAATAGGCACTAGAAGAACCTAGATGAGTTGTTTTCAAGGGAACTGCCGCATGAATTGAGATGGGTCGGGTGTGAGACTAATCTAGCTATTTTGTCTGGCACGCAAATGCAAACAATTTTTTTTATCCGACGACAGTTTCAACCGATGTATATTTATGTATCATAGGTCTAGCTTTTAACCAATTAAGACAACTCTAAATAATAAACATTCAACGTTTTGAAAGAAAGACATAATATGAATTGCAACTGAGTCTTCCTTGCACTGTTTCTAGTTTTAGATTAGAATTCAAGTTATTTTCATACTACAAATGGTCAAAAATTTAATTTAGAATTACGATCATCTCCAACATTGCACATCGCGTCATAGAATTACCTTGGACATTTTAAATTATCGTCTAAAACATTGCAATAACAAGTGAATCTATTACTCCATGTAATTTTTTTGACACATACTCCATGTATATTTTGGAGAAGATAAGCACACATTTCAAAATTCAAACTATGAATACACTCTAAATCATATGTATGGATTTTAAAAATTAATATTAGCTCATAATTGAATAATTTCTGAGTTTTCTCGACTGGAATTTGCATATAATTTGAACTTAGATTTCGTGTAGTTTGAATGTATCAACTTTTGAATCGAGTAGGTCTCGCAAATGTGATCGATTAATTCGAACACCTAATTACCATTACAAATGTTTACATAGCAAAAATGCCAACGAGTAATGAGTATTGAGTTATTACCTCAATCTACTTTTCCCGATCAATCTATATTGTTTTTAATATTTTATTTTACAGATTCAATTTTTATTAAATTTGAGTTTTTTTTAGGATGATATAATTTTTTTTATGGCTACTCAAATATAGTAAACCTATCACTTTCAAAGAAAAAATATACTACTGCCGTCACATTTAGGGAGTGTTTGCAACTGCTTCTGCTAAAAAAAAAGCACTTTTGGAGATGTAAGGAAAAAGTGATTAGTAGGAAAAGTTGATAGTGTTTGAGAAAAAAGTGATTTTGAAAAATTAAAGTTGATATTGTTTGGTAAAATAAGTGCTTTTTGTGTAATAGAAAGTGGAAAAACACTTTTCACACGCAAGCCGAGAAAAAGTAAAAATTGGTAGTGTTTGGTAAATAAGTGTTTTTTTAAGCCAAAAGCTGAGAAGTGCTTTTTTTAAGTGATTGCAAACACTCCCTTAGGGAGTGTTTGCGTTTGCTTGTGCTTTTTAAAAGTGATTTATTTAAGGGATTATAGGAAAAGTGATTTGTAGTAGAAGTAGGTAGTGTTTGTAGACAAAAGTGATTTTAAATAAAAGGTAAAAGTTGAAGTGTTTGATAAAAAAGTGATTTTTGATGGAATATTTTGTTAAAGTACAAAATTGGCCTTGCATAAACAAAATTGGAGGTCCATGGGTTCTTCCTATTCTTTCCTCCGGACGTGTCATTCTCCTGTGCCTGCAAGTCGGTGACTCAGTGCAGAAGCTGTCATACCCACAAAATTTGACTTGTTTCCACATCAAATTCATTTTCTCCGTATGAAATTGGGTTAGCAGCAGAGGAAGGTCAGTCATGGAGTTACAAATTAAATGGGTAGAAGCAATATTGCAATAACGTATCGGAAGCATTGCCCATTGGGAGAATTAATGAGGGATTGATGGAATTAAAAGTGGTAATTGAGAGGGAAGAGTTTGGAACGAAGAGCAGTGGGCCGAATTGAAGAAGTGAGGTTCGCAAAACAAAGGTATGGACATGGCAGACTTGAGGAGTGCGGTGCGTAGCAGAACGAAGAAGATGACGGGGCACTGGTGAGCACAGGGTTAGTTTGGGATTAATTGAAATATTCAACCTAATTATTATCCCTAAAGTTTGAATGAATTACAAAAATACCAAAAAGCTATTAGAAGCACCCTCCAACCAGCTTTGAGATTTTAGCTTAAAAGTGCTTTAATTAATCAGATTTTTGGGTTTGCAAACACCCTGTTTCGGTTTTTTTGAAAAAAAAGTTGAAAAGCACTTTTTAAAAGTGTTTGCAAACACACCTTTAATGTGGCTCATTTATTTCTTTTCAATAAAGAAGATGTGAGACTTATTTTGAAACGATAAGACTCCCGAATTGGCCAAAATACAGGAATTCTCAACATCATTTGCCAAAACACGGGAAAAAGTTTAGGGTTTTTAAAAAAGCGAAGGTCGGATACACCAATTCTGAACAGAAATAGGGAAAACTAGGATGTGCTCATGTCGGATACACCACTTCCGACTAGGTTTTTTTTTTCTTTTTCAAATTCTTTTCGATGAAGTGCTTTAACATCCGAATTGGCATGATGTTTGGATGGTCTTTTTTATTAAATAAAGTTAGTTTTTTGAATGAACTTCGGAATAAATTTTTTGCAATTTTTAAAATGAAAAATATACATTTTGATTTTTGTAATAACACAATATTGATTACTTTAATTTATATATTTTTTTAATTCATTTGAATTGTTAATTAAATTCATAAAATGAAGTACAAATTTCATTTGTTTAATGGAAGTGAACAAAACAAATGTAGTTTTTAATGTAATTTATTAATAAATAGATATTATGTGCATACAATAATAAATTTAATACTACATCTAACGTTGCTTGCTCGGCCCTGGCATGTCACCGCCGCCAGTGTTCCAAAACCCCGATGTGTCTTCAAAAGTGGAAAAATATGCATCTCACTATGTAGAGTACTGATAAGAACCATAATACAGCGGTGGTTCAAAAATCGTGAAATCTTGATGCGAAGAGAATTGAGGGGGCGGTTGTGATTCCTCACCCCACCTTCATATTCAGCTGCATCACCCTCTTCCTCGTTTCCACCGTCACCAGCATATTCATCTCTATCTTCATCAACGTGACCATGTGTACGATCACGGCTGGGAGCATCTATTCGTCGATCAGGCGTAAGACGAGGAACGGGAGAGGGCTCATCTTGTGCATTCGGGTAAAGGAAAACACCCTGGTGGAACATCGTTTCATCACCTACATCCATGGCCAACCGCTCAAGCCGTTCTTTAATGTTTTCATAACCCGCCGCCTGATTGGCGAGCTCATACACATCGTGAAAGCCCTGCTTTTGCATAAAAATGTAACAAGTATAAATAATATGACACAAAATATGTTAATGAATATGGTATGTATTCAATAACTTACCATAAGACCCCAATCACGTGCTGTCGAGGTGTATCCTGTCGCCGGCGCAACGTGAGAAGGGTTCCCGACACGTATCATCCCATGCCGCGAGTACCATTTTGGTACCTATCAGTCGCTGTGAGTATTCTTTGTTGTTCGTAATTCAGCAGGTATACACTATTCCGTCGGTTCGCCTACATTGTCAAGACAGATGTTGATACGGCAGAACGACACTTACCCCCGTGGTTCATGTATTTTTCGGACTGTTTTAAATATATTTTATTTTATCGGGTCGAATAAAATATATTATGTGTTCTTAATCATTATGACATCTAGAATGAATATACATTCCCCAACTTTAATTTATTAGTCTCCGAAATTCATTTCGGGTTGTTATCTGTTAAATTACCAATACCGGTATTTGGGCCTCTTTTGACCAATCGGTCAACTCCGGGCCTTTCCATGGCCCAAATGAAGTATCCACCACCATATGAATATTATCTAAATCAAGATGAATAAAAATATATGGTCTCAGGAATATCGGGCGGCCCCCGCTCCCGGTGTGGGCCCCACGTGCGAATTCACTATTCACGCAAAAGAATTAATAAAAATTCACAACTTCGTATATTCATTAACCATTCCATAAGGTTCAATACATTATTCACTTAAAAGTAAATACATTTGGGGACGGTGTTACATCATCTAACTAATTATTACATGATATTTAACTAATGGAAAATATCATCTACAAATATTTAACTAATTTAAACTTTTAACTATTGAAGTTGGAGTGAAGTTGGCCGGATGTATAATTTCAAAAAATAAAAAAAAAAATCTGTAACTACCTGTCGGATTTCCCAATTCCGACAGGAGGATGCTAATGATTCAAGTTGGCCGAATGTATAATTTCAAAAAAAAAAAAAAACTATACTTGTCGGATTTCCCAATTCCGACACGAAGCCCTCACCCTAAACAATGCCCTGCCCCTGGTCAGAACACGGAAATCCGACTCCCGCATTTTGGTAACCTAATTCTAATTCCCGTTTTTTGGCATTTCAGACAAAAAAGTCCCGTGTTTTGGTAATTTCCTCCCCGAGTATGACTTATGAGTTATGACCAACCCTAATTTGCACAATTGAAGACATTCAACTACTGCTTGTATAGGAAGAGGCTGAAGAAATATTCGAAAATGAGAAGGGCTTCCGCGATACTACGTTGCTTAATCGGTTCTTCGCCATGTCTTACTGCTCGATCCTCGTCACTAATGGTGTCCTCTGCCGCCACCGTCTCATACTCCACCGTAGCTCTCACTGATACGCCCCAACCTCTTTTTAATTCTACAATCGGCTCTACTATCGCTGTTAACTTACAATCGCCCCACTTCCTCAACCATTTCCGTGACTTCTCTTCTCCACCATCCTCAGGTTAGCACTAAAATGCTCAAACACCCAAAATTCTGGAAGAGCATTTCTACACGTAAAGTTTCTTTTTAATTGGTGAATGCTTTCAACTATTTGAGTAAATTTGGGGAAATCTATTGGAATGTTAAGCCGGTAAAATGGATGATATAATCTTGATTTTATCTCTGCTCCTGCTTTACGAAATTATCAGAATGTTGGCCAGTTTGTTGTAACTTAAGTACTTCGTAGTAGTTTTCTTATTGCCAAAGCAGGGATTTTATGGAATTATTCGGAATGAGCAATTTTCTAGTTCATACAAGACCTATTTGTTAGCCCATCATAGCTTGTTTGGATGGGTTTAGTACTTTAATTATAGAAGAGAAGGGAAAGTGGAGGATTACTCCCGTTTTTTCTTTTAGGAAAGATAGATGAAATAGAAATTAAAGAAGATGATGAAAGTGTAAAGGAGTATAGGTGTCCTGATACTATTCTCCTTCCCTTCACCTCATTTCTATTCATTGCTTACACTGATTTGGGGTGTAGGGAGGTTAGGGGAGCTTACATAATTTTTATTTTTCAATTTATCATTGTATCTTCCACTCTACCACCACCCTTTATGACAGCTTCCTATTATTTTCATCGAGAAAATTATCTCTCTTATGACTAAAAGAACATGATGTTCCCAAAGTATGACTTCACCAGTTTTTCCCCCAATCTAATGCTCCTACAACATGAATGGTCGTACACGCGCCTCTATTATTTGTTTTAATTCCAATCATGTCCTCCACTAAGCAAATAAATAAGTACCATAACTGCCGATCAAATAGGATGAGCGTAAACAAAACTTTTACTTGAAACTCCTAATAATTAGGAATAAATTGCAAATGAATTAATTGCATTATGGTAACTGCCAAGTGCTAAGTGTAGAGTAATATGGGTGTCGAGTAAATTAGGAAAATACGCACATGATATATGCTCACATTATTATTATTATTATTATTATTATTATTATTATTATTAGTGTTAGTATTATTATTTGTTATTATTAGTATTCTTATTGATATTGTTATTATTATTATTATTATTTACTTCAAAAAATTATTATTATTTTATTGTTATTGTTATTATTATTAAGTGTCCTAATTATATGTGTTATATTTTTATGTAGCAATTGGGCAGTAATTTATCTATAAAAATGTTTGCGTTTTATCTATTATTGATTTAGTTGGTATATTTACTGCCCTCACTTTTTTTCCATATTGATTGAATTTTACTATCACGGGCAATAACTTTTATTATACCCAGTATATCATATTCTCCCTTTCTTACTACACTTGTATGTATCAGGGCAATAAATTATTTAGTGCATCATCTTCATTATATGTGTTATAATTTTACGTGTTCATTTACTGTCCTCCAATATATGGGCAGTGAAGCACACATGTCAATTTATTGTTCATTTTACGTCTAATTTCTATTTTAGTAAAATATTCTTTGTGATTAATTTTTGTTAACGTATTCATTTAATTGTCAAATGTCCTATCACTTATGTATCAATGGGACAGTAATTTATGTATGTCCTAATTTTCTCTAGTGTTGATTTAATTGGTACATTTACTGCCCTCACAAATTTTCATATTGGTTTAATTTTATTGCCACCCTATGGGCAATAACTTTCAATATGCATTGCCTTTACGTCTATTGCACTGTTGGCTCTAGTATAAATACGTTTATGGGAATAGTTCATTCAATTCTAAATCTTATTGTAAAATAATTCAATATATGGAGTAAACTCCCGTTATATTTATACTGCAGTTTAAACATGCAAAAATAAATATTATAAAGTTATTTAAAAGATTAAAATATCAAATGTAAATCATGAATGTCCTTTTTGAAATATGGCTCCACGCCATTAGGAGCGATAGTCACAGTTTCTACAACAATGCGTATTAATTGCCTGGATTCCATTTTGAAAAGATTCCTTTTTTATAAACCGTGTATTTACAAGGAAGTTAGGGGTAATAGAGTAACATTGCATCTTTATTAAATATCCATTTATATGCATAGGCACGTATTTAGTCATACGTTAGACATAATTCATTTTTAGTCATATATTAAGAAACTCTGTTTCTTTTAGTCATATAACCGTATTTTTCCCTATTTTCATCCCATTTTGTCATCTCCCAAACAAAGATAGTGATAAGATCAGAAATTAAAAGGAAAGATATGGAATGATTTAAAGTCTCCTACTCTCTTCTCACAGTAAGTATCTCACAAATGAGTGATTGTAGAAGCCAAGGGAGAATCTCCAGGTCTGAAACTGATATTGATTCATGCATACCTAGCTTGAATATGGCTAGGCTATTTAAAGAGAGAAATACAACTGACTACTAACTGTCTAAAACTGACTCACACAACTGATGTAAACTGACTTCATCCATGATCTAGTAACTACCCCATGATCTAATAACTACCCTAGTGGACTGATGCATGACACCAAACCCCACTTATTTCTCCAACTGACTCATTTAAACAAATAAACAATAATTAATAAATAAATGAAGACTCAGTCCACAATTGGTCCTCGTTTCTTGCGCCTCTTATATTTCAGCACCCTATCAGATAGGATCATAGGCTAACAAGTTACACCTTTACGCACGCTTTTCATTACCTGCATTTTCCTACACTTACATTGCCGTAATCCTCCAGCAAAAAGTTCGCTTCTTTCTGATGAATTTGACCATTGCCGTACTACTTCAGCAATCTCGTATGAAAGAATGTTAAAAAAACTGTAATTGCTTGCGCCAAAGTTTAACATATTAACTGATAAAGAACTGATAGTATTATCTGGATACTTGACACAGTTTTCTAGCTTGAAAAGTTTAGAGATCCTTGAGTTCTGAAGATGTATTGAAAACGTGTATTGCTTTATTTTCTCTAAAGTAACTCATGAATTAAGGAACCTAATATGTTTTTCAAAAAAACAAAGTTAAAAGTCGATTCTCAAAACATGTCATAATATTCGTATGTGAGCATTTCCAATTCCCACTTGTATTGGCTAATCTGACTTGGGGTAGTCTGGTCTATCCTTGCAGGTCCTTCAAATATTGTTTCAATTGAGTCTGAAGAACAATTTAATACTTCGATTCGCAAGGTTCAAGGTTAGTTCTGTCATCTGTGACTGCATAGTTAGAAATTTAATACGAAGTACATTTTATTGAGAATCATGAAATATTTCAGGTTTATTCTGGTTCTGATTGATACATATGGAGAATTGCCTTCAAATTTGAATTTTCACCCTTTACCCACAAGTTTCTTTAATAAACCTACATTGTTGAATGTTGAGTACTTGAGTTTTATAGTTGTTTATTAAAACGACTTTGAATATTTTGCCAGATGAATCATTGCCAGCTATATTCTACTTCACCGCAGCTTGGTGTGGGCCATGTAAGATACTTTGATTCACACTTATTTTCTCTTGATGGTGGAATCATTTGGTGCTCATATTTTCATGTATCCCTTCTTTTAAACTGAATCCTGAGCTATCTAGCAAAAGCAAGTAAATGCCCTCTCTTTAATTGTTGTTGTATATATGTAGGTAAATTGTTAGCTCCTACAATTGAGCAGTTAAGTGAGAAGTATCCCCATGTTACAACATATAAAGTTGACATTGGTAAGGTAAGAGATGCCATAATACTCTTACAATTTCTTGTTTATGGTGTTAAGTGGCTATAATGTCATTTTGAATATGTAATTTTCGAATATTCTTGTGACTTTGTAAAGCTTTTAATGTAGTTTCTGAATATGTAATTTAAAAAAAAAAATGAGTGTGGACAGGGATCTGTTTGCTTTATCCTTCGGTCAAACATCGTAAACTCTAAAGTGTCTTACAAATTGGGATGGAGGGAGTATATAATCTCACGGGGAATGTTATTTTGGAATTGGTATTTATAAGCTAAAGGCTTAAATATGTTTTTAGTCTTGCAAATATGACACATTTTGTTTGAGACCCCTTTTATTTTTCATCCTATAATATGCACTATTTTGTTTTTAGTCCATCTCTAACTTTGAGACCACTCTATTTAGAAAAAAAGTCATTGTCAGTTGCATAATACTACTGGATCAGAATGAGAGGAAACATATTGGTCGTGGTTGTTTAATGCACTATATGCCTCCAAGCTAAATACGAGGCATATCTTTTGGCTCTTTTGTGAAAATAAATTGGTATCTTTTTATCAATTCTTGAATTTAATATATTTTTCATGTGCAGAAGGAGCTTGGAGGTGCATTAGACAAATTGAACATTCACTCTGTGGTAAATATCTGTTATATTTTTTGGAAGTACAGTATAGTTGGCACATTATACTCTATAGAAGCTGTCTTCTTGAGATTCTGCATGTTTTAGGAGTAGGTACTTACTCATTTTATTCAAACCTCCCTGACACACTAGCGATACGCCCTATGTAGTTAACTCGCTACTCGGTAGCAACTGGGTCAAGGGCCGAGTAGCCAGTAGGACCGATTATTCGGGATTACTCGGTGATTACTTGGCCCTGTATTAATTAAATTTTATAAGATAGGTGCCCGAGATTATAGAAATATAAGTCTCAAAATTGCCTTAGAAATTAGAATGCATAGAAATGAATAAAATGATAAAAATCCTAATGATGAAGTGGCAAAAGGCATAAACATTCTAAGTTTTCTAGAAAATCAATTGTCCGGTTCAAGGCTGTTATTTTCTTCTTCATCCCCCATGTCTCCAAATAGATCTTCTCCAAATAGATCTATAGTAGTCACTAGTCAGATTCCCCACTTGTTCTTCCACTTCCAGGTCATCTAATTTAATACTACGTGTCAAGCAGCATGGATGCAAACTGTGCTGCATTCACATTCTCCCTTCTGTTCTGACTCCTTGTACTTGTTCCCAAGTCAAATCATCACTGTAGGAGGGTAGCCAATGTCGGAAACTCTGTTAAACCTAGACTTTGTATCGTAGATTTTCAAATTTTACAAGTGACCGAGTAAGGCCGAGTAACCCGCGGAGTTGAGAACTTCATCGAGTTAAGATACTCACCGAGTACTCGACGAGTACTTCATACGCCCATATGAACTCTTCATTCTTTCTTAAAGTTGCCTACAGTCCTTTCATTTTTCATGCTGTAATAGTTTAAGGCTGAAAATTAAAATTGATAAGTAGACCCTGAGCAGACCTGGAGCAAAAGTATGACCTAAAACGTAGATAAAATGGGCAAATAAGGCCACGTACTAACCAAAAAAGGTCAAATAAGGCCTTATTTAAGAGGCTCTGTCCGGCCATCGCGATTTGGGGTAGTTCCCGGTGGAATTGTTTGATGAATTTTTTTTAGCATCTTATTCAGTAAGTATAGTTTATTCATACCAAATTTCAGCTAACAATTCAATCGGGAAGACATTCAAATGAATTCTTGAAGATAACTGCGTTTTTATCTTCAAGAATTCATTTGAATGCCTTCCTGATTGAAGTGTTAGCTGAAATTTGGTATGAGTAAACTAGACTTAATGAATAAGATGGTCAAAAAAATTCATCAAAAAATTCCACCGAGAACCACCCCAAATGGCGATGGTCGGACAGAGCCTCTCAAATAAGGCCTTATTTGACCTTTTTTGATTAGTACGTGGCCTTATTTGCCCCTTTTCCCTAAAAAGTATAAACATCAAAGATCACTATGTTGCTGAATAGATCCTAGATAGTACACCTAGCTCTGTTTTTAATGTGTGTGTGTAATTTTATGGTTCCAATGGGATTCCTATAAGCTGTTTTATGGTCCGTGTGGAGTGTGGACATGTGAAAATACTAGGAAAAGAAGACAGTGAGGAAACCATAAACGAAATATGGAAAAAAAAAAAAGACAACAGCGAGGAAAATAACATATTGGTTGAAGCGCAAGAAATTAATGTTTTTCTAGTTGTTCAAATTCATTCTTTTATTTACGATAGCATATAGACACAAACAAATTTAAACATGTGTAAAAGAAATTGTGACAATAGTATTTCGTTTTCATTTGTATTTTCCTTGGCATTTATTCCTTTTCGTAGTATTTTTCCAGGAACCAAACATAACCTTAGTGTGTATTAGGATTCGAATGTGTCAAAAGTTCATGTCAGCTTAGTAAAAGGTGTTTATTCGAAGGAATATAATTATGGTTGGAAACATTTTAGAGAACTCAGCATGATAAAGTATAGACAATTGTGACATTGTGTGTACATTAAACTTTTGACAAGTTATGTATACTCTCTATGTAAGGCTAGTTTTCCTTAACTACAATTGCTAAAACATCTCTGCAGCCCACGTTGCATTTCTTCCAGAATGGAGAAAAAGCCTCTGAAGTGATCGGAGCTGATGTTCAACAACTGAAAGATACAATGGAGACGCTGTATAAATGTTGAACCACCGCACTGGCTTGCACGACATGAATCCGACTTTCCAGTAAAATTTAGATCTCTGTTGTAGAGTTTTTGTTTTACGGTTGAGTTCCCGTACTTTTTAGTGATGATGAAACTAGATGATTCAAAATTATAGCCTCTGTTATCAAGTTTAAGAATGACTACATGCCCTTTTTTACGAGTATTTTTTAGAAGTTTCGAACTAATAACAAAGTGAAAAGTGAGTTACAACAAATGCTCATTTCTTAATCTTCATGTCCTCATGTACAGTAAAACCAAGACTGGGACGGGACCAAGTACATACAATACACACAGCTATGAACATACGTAGTATATCACAATACTAGATTGGTCTATCTTAAATTAAATTATGTGATCACAATTCTTGCAACTCAAAATAATGAATTTCTAAGTGTTATACATAATAATTGCAAGTATCTTGTGGTATGATGACATCACTGTGGTACTCTCAAGAAAGAGGTCACAGCTTCGAATTTCATCCCAGTTCAAGGATGTTGGCATTAACAATGAGACACGGTTTTGTTTACTGTAAAATTAATTCAACTCTAAACACGGTTTTGTAAATTGAAGTACCTTAATTACATCGAGACCGTCCAGCAAAATCTTATCATTTCATTTTATCATTGTCTCGTTATATACCTCTTAAGTAGACATGTCTGCGGTTTGACTGGAACCGAACTGCAGGTTTGCGGTTCTGAAATTTGGCGAACCAGAATTGCATATTACCGGTTCCAAAAGTGGTGGTTCTGGTTCGATTTTCTGGTTCTAATTTTTTATTTAATTATTATAATTTAAAACTATTTAATTTTTAAAAAAAATGAAGTAGGTAATAAGTAGTAAGATTATTTGAATGAAAGAGATCCCCAAAATATTAATATAATGAATTACTTTATGAAATATTTCGATAATTAAGTGCAAGAATTAGATAGTTAGTAACAAAATATAGTCGTAGCTTTTTATTAAGAGCATCTCCAGCGGTCAGCGAAACACATTGTAACTTTGCTTGTCATGTCAATTTTTTCTAGCTAATCCATTTTCCAGCAATGTGGTAGTACAATGGCTAGCTACAATCCTTACATCTTGAATAGGCCCCACAAATTAATCAATATTAAAATATATATTTTGAATGAAATTTATTGTTAATATAATAAAAATAATATTTATTTTCAAATCGATCAAGTTGACAAGAACATTATCTGTATACCTAAATTTTCAAATTGATTGTATACCTAAATTTCAATACCTTTATTTATTTATTATAATTAATTGTAATAGGATTGAAACCAGAACATTACCGTTGCAATTTTTTAATTAACATAATAATATTGAAACAAGTTTGAATATTATCATTGTTGTTTAATTAGATTTGTATATTAATTATAAAAAAAAATATTTGGGAGTTACCATTTAAGTTCAATTTTCTCTCCTTTCTAGCATTTAGCTTGTTTTGGCTAATTTGCTTGTCCAAGTTAGAAGGTAATATGCACTTCAATAGTAGGCTACTAGCTTGAGTATTTTAAAAAATTGCAAGCAAGTCTTTGGAAGGAACCATTGGAGATGCTCTAAATACTCTGTAACTAAGTACTTAAAAATTAACTTGTACAATTTTAAAATTGATAATTCTAAAGCCCTTTAGTAATTTGTAAACTATGCATTCTTATAAGTACAATTTGTCGTATTAGAATATTATATGGAGTAACTAATAATGTCTAAAAATTAGAGAGCGCTAACTAAGAGCTCGTTTGGTAAAAGTCAAATCGGCTGTATTGGCCGATTCTGCTAAAACTTATGAAGTTTTGACTGATGTGGTTGTATTGGCTGATTCTGCTAATTTGTGAAAAATAATAATTTAAAATACAATTTGTTAATAAAATAAAGAAAAAGTTTAATGAAAAAAATAATTAAAATGACCATATACAGTAACTTCAACCAATATAGCCAAAAAAGTAACTCCAACCATACTTTTTCTTATTATTACACAATTCAGCCCGTAAAACAAAAAATTATGTGTTTGATGAAAAAGTTGGTTTATAAGCTTGAAAAGCCAAGAATTGTAGCTACCAAACGAGCACTAATATTCATTGTTTATTATTTTTTATTTGTTAGTAGAAAAACTATAAGTACTGCTACTATTATATTTTGAGTTAATTACTCATATAGGACAAAAAGACTTGTCAAATGTTAAAATAGGACCGATTTCCGACATTATGTTTAGTAGGAGTTATTTAAGCATGAGTGGACCATAATACCCTTATTTTAAATAAGGAACTGCCTTTCATTAAATCAAATAGAATTCTTGCGCAGGGAATTCCAGGCAAATTGAAGATGCCCCTCTCACACCGACGTCACCGTACGCCGCCGCCACCCTCTGCCGGCGCCGTCTACCGCCACCCCTCGCCGGCGCCATATGCCGGCACCGCCTACCCCGCCTCCCTACCGGTACACCATCACCGCCCAACTGCTATTGACATCCGTCACCGCCATCACAACTCCCTCATTGTTGTCTATGTTAAATCCCCACCACTCACCTCCGAGCACCGCCGTCGTCACGACTCCAGTGTCGTAGATCTGCCATTAAGTTGACAGATTTAGCCTCAAAGGATGATTACAAATATGCCATTAAGTTGGCAGATTTAACCTAATCTGCCATTAATATGAAGTTTAAGATATGCCAAAAAAGTGGCAGAATAATCTTGGAAGAACACCAAACTGCCATACTTTTGGCAAAAATATGAAATACCAACCAAATAGTGAAAACTAATTTTTTTATGAGTAAACACTCAAACAAAATAAATAATAAATTCACGAAACTAGTGACAAAACATCAGAAAAGCAGATTTACAAAAAAAATCTTTTCTGCCATAAATGATATTCGGTGTGCTCATTTTTGCCATAAACTTGGCAAAATTTTAATCCATCGTCCAAAAAAACTGGATAATTGAAATTTTTTAAAATTACTGAAATTTGAAAAAGGAAATGCAAAATAGAAGATAAAAAAATCAACAAATCGAAACACAGAACAAAAAAAATAGAGGAATAGAAGAAAAATCAATTTCAAAGCCAAAAAATAAAATAATAGGAGAAAAGGAGGATGAAGAACGAGAAGAAGGAGAAGAAGAAGAAGAAGGAGAAGAAGGAAAAGAAGAGGAAGAGGAAGAAGAAGGAAAAAAAAACTGACCAAACGGCGGTCGACGGCTTGCAGGGGGTGGAGTCGTAGGCAACATCGGCGGCTATGGATGTGGTCGGCGATGAAATTGATCTAATATGCAGGGCAGAAGGAATGGACGGATCTGGTGAGAATTGAGAAGAAGAGAAGAGATGATGGTGTGAAGTGGGAGAAGAAATTGATCGATGTGTTGGGGTACGAGAGAATAAATTTATCGGATGTGTTTTGCGGTGTGGATGCATCGGATAACAAAACAGGGGTAGTAATGGAATGAGAAATTCTCTATGTTTATAATAGGAGTAATTTGGTCCTATTTGGGAATAAAAACATAAGAAGTCTTATTTTGGATTTTTACCCTAGTTTTAGTCCTATTTGGGATAATTTCTATTATATTTTTTACTCTCATTTGATTATTTGTTAATTTTTTTTTATTAAAAAATGGTTCCAAACTGGAACCTTCAATTCCAGTTCAAAATTTCAGATAACCGAACCGTACTAGTAAACATCTGATTTCAATTCGACAGTAATACACGGCCCCTGTTTCGATTAAAAAAATTGACGATTCTGGTTCATGTTCCGGTTGAACCTTAGTCCACGGACAAGTCTACTTTCTAGCTTTAAAATAATTTATGTAATTCATACTTAGAAATATTATGATTACAACGATTTTGATGCATGACACATGAAATTTAGGACAATGGTAATTATATGCATCTCACATCTCTTCATTTTCTCTCCACCAGCATGTAATCAAAGTTTAATTTTCATCCGCCTAAATAATAATAATAATAATAATAAAATAGCAACAATTGTGATAGCAATAATAATAATAATAATAATAATAATAATAATAATAATAATAATAATAATAATAATAATAATAATAATAACAACAACAACAACAACGCAATCAGATCTGAAACATTCAAATCACGTCAGATCAGAAAGATTCAGATTAGATTAGACCAGATAAAAAACACTCATATCATATTTAAATCAGAAAAATTCAGATCAGATCAGAACTTAAAAAATTCAGATCAGATCAGAACTTAAAAAATTCAGATCAGAAATATTCGGATTAGACGAAGAGAACAACTTCACATTGTCTTAGAATTTTAATAATAATAGTTCAGCATTCTCATGTAGAAGTTACTCCCTCCGTTCCATCTATATTGTCCCGTTTTACCTTTTCGAGAAGTCCCACTTAAATTGTCTCATACCATATTTGACAAAGTTTGTGTGACTCTAAATCATTATTACTTTATCCTTACTTTATCAATTAATATCAATCACACAAACTTACTTTTTTTAATAATTGTGTCACCCTCTTCCGGGATAATATAAATGAGACGGAGGTAGTAGTACTTAGTATTATAAATGTATTGTTAAATACTCATTATAAACACATCAATCATTAATTTCACTATTACCATTAGTTTGTCACAAAATGGAATAAGTCCTGGTGATGGCTAGTTGGCTACACCCCTTTTGCGGCTGTGTCGATTATCGACTTGATGGACATAGGAACCTGGGCCACGAAATTACCAAGCAGATGCGAGGGTGTGCAAAAGATATTCAACCAGATCGCTATTTTTCGGTTTATCAGGTTTATTAGCCAACTTTTTCACCATACACGTAACTTCTGCTTTCGCGCGCTGCATTGTGTAATAAGCAGAAAAAATAGGATTGAAGTTATTTTTCTGGCTATATTGGCTGAAGTTACTGTAGATGACTATTTTAGCTATTTTTACATATAATTTTTTCTTTATTTTATTAATAAGATATATTTTAAAAATAATTTTTTCTTAAATCAACAGAATCAGCCAATGCAGCCACTTCAGCCAGAACTTCATAAATTTCAGCAAAATCAACCAAAACAACCGATTTTGGTACTACCAAACGGGCTCCAAATGTTACGAACAGAGTAACTTAATTAAATGTCCTCCTTTGCTTAGATGACATTTTATTGTGTCATTCAAATTGTTTCTGTACAGATAATTTGAGTGGTATTTTATGAAAAAAAATCAATTTCAGAAAAATTAAAAAAATTATTTATATCACAAACAATTTAAATTGTTTGTGTCACAGACAATGAAGCATTTTTTTGTACACGCTGGTCAAATTGTCTGTGTTATAGACAATTGTTTTTTGTTTGTGTGAAAAACGATTTATTCATAAATTGCCTGTAAAATTGTCTGTGTACTGATAATTTAATTGGTGTATACAATGGCGTGTACATTACGCCGTGTACAAAGAACATTTTCCAAATTTATAATATCCATGTTTCCAATACAGGCCTATTTGTACATGTGTAGTAAGTTACTCATATTTTATTTAAAACAGAAAACATATAATGAATGTTGTTACTCAGGAAGGTAGCCAAACTTATATACTCGGTTAGGCTCGTACACACATTATACGAGTATGTTTTTTATACTTATAACGATTGAAATTTTGAACTTTGGGTTAAACCGGGATTAACATGACCCCTCTTTCCTCCGCCTAAGCTGGTGTGTAATGTTAAGTTTTGCTTCAAGTGAAAATGCAATTTGTACACTTTTGTGTACACACTTGGTACATTTTTATTGATGAGTATTAGGAGTAATTCGTATATATTACTGACACTTCACCTAAAATGTTAGTAGTAATTCTCTATTAAATGTACAAAACATGTACAAACAATGTGTAGACCAAGAATTATTAGCTCAAGATTATCTCCTCTTTTGTCTTTACACATAGGTTATGTAAATAAAAAAAATTACCTCCCCCTAACATTAAATTGATATCAAATTGATATAAGAAGAGATGATGCAATTATAAAGAAAAGTGAATTTCGTGATTGATATTAAATTGATAAAATGATAATCAAACAAGAATAATTTACAAGTTACAACCACACAAATGTTTTCAAATTTGTTATGATACAATCTTATAAAATAGAATAAAAGGAAAAGAAACTTAATGGGCAATAATGAAAGAATAAAGTTAAATTTGAGACAAAGGCATAATCAAAATTCAATATTGCTCGCTTTGGATTAATTTTAAGAAATTGTCCTAAATATGAGTAAAAACGTTTCGAAATTCTAAAATAGGACTATCATGTTTTTTTTATTCCCTGAATAGGAGTAATTTGTCATGTTTGAAAAAAAATGTCATGTTTAAAGCCTAATCATGTCAAACCTGAGAGAAATTTACTCATAATCAAGGAATAAAAAACATGTTATTTTGAAATTTCAAAACGTTTTTAATCCTATTTAGGGAATTCTCTCATTAATTTTGTCATGGAGTTAGTCTTTTACCTCCTTTACTACCTCCATCACGACTTGATTTGTAAAGTTAAATTTTTTTCTATCAACATTGTTAAAATTAAATATATTCCTTCATATAGATAATTAATTCATTTTTAATAATTAAAATTTGTATATTAAGAAATTACATTAATCTTTATGAAGTTGCAAAATCCAAATTAGAATATACTTATAATAAAAAATTACTATCTCGAATCAAATGAATAAAATGAAACTGTTTGATAAGAAAGTTCTTTAAAAATCAATTTAAAACGAAAATAGTAATATGATAAGGTCAATGATAAAAACTACTCCCTCCGTCTCATAAAATAGTTCCCGCATTGACTTGGATCGGAGTTTAAGAAAGTGAGAATAAAATGGAAATGTTAATTGTGGTTGTGTAAGAAAAATGTAAATGAATGTGAACCACACAAAACTTTCCAAAAAGGGAAATGAGAACTATTTTTTGGGACGACCCAAAAAGGAAACCGGGAACTATTTTGCGGGACAAGGGAGTATAATGTTATACTCTGGGTACATGCAATATTTTAATATTTAATGATTATTGGGAAAATTCCCGAAATAAGACTAAAAACATTTGAAAATTTCAAAATAGGATTGTTATGTTTTTATTCCCAAAATAGGAGTAATTATTGTCAAGTTTAGAAAATACTGCCATCTTTAGAGTCTGGTACTGCCAAAACATGACAGTAATTAGTCCTATTTTGGGAATAAAAACATGATAATCCTATTTTGGAATTTTCTAACGTTTTTAGTCCTATTTAGGGTAATTTCCCATGATTAAATTATCATTTTGAACTTTGGAGTATTAAGTTATTGTTTCTTAAAATAAAAAATAAAAACTTTGACTAGGACGTCCTAAAAAGAAAATTGGAACAATAAGTTGAAACGCAAAAAGTAGTACTACCTCCGTCCCACTATGTTTGAGATAGAGGGGTGTGACGCAACTTTTAAGAAAAAAATGAAATTGTATGGTTGATATTGAATTGATAAAGTGTAAATAAAGTAAGAATGAATTATAATCATCAAAATATTACTTAATATGATATGAGACAAACTTAATGGAACATACAAAAAAAGGTAAAATTGGACAAAGTTAGGGGACGGAAGAAGAAAAGTTGTACTCCGTACTTACTTTTTTTTTATTTACATCACTTTTACAATACTCTACCAAATATCTAGAACAGTACGGCGTAGTTATGAATCTTATGATTGTCGAAGGATTATCTATTTCGTTTTTTTTATGGTAACTACTTCGTATTAAACAATGAGGCAAATAAATAGAAGCGAATTTGAATTTCATATATAGATATGTCTAATTTCCATTACATTAGGTACAAAATTGGTGACGGCCGTGAGGTGAATTTTCATATTCCAATCCTCAAACCGCCACCTAATATAAAGTAATGGATTTCCGCCGAGACCACTGAACAACTAATTTAATGAAATTTGACTGGAAAAAAAAGATCGAAATAAGTAATAGTTTCATAATATAATATAATAATACCTCTATATAATAATTTGAATGGATTAATTTTATTTTTCAAATTTCAGGAAAGAGGAGACCGAGAAGGAGCCCCCTTCCTGCGACTGGTTAAGGAGAGCATTATTCCGGGAAGGAAACCGCTGCCCGGGTTCGTATCGGTCCTTCCCGGGGAGAGCGAAATTCCGGAAATGCCCATCTCATTATTGGAGCAAGAGGATGATTGCTTGTAATCTAATGGATCTTCCAGGATAGAGTTGGGAGTAATTTGGCCGTCCTGCGAATCTGAGCCGTCCATCTGGAGGCCTTCCATTTGGGATGCATCGAACTTGTACACTATGCTGGACATGTCTTGATCATTATAGACCATGAAATCAACCTGCATGCAACTGTTCGTTACAAATCATCTCTTACATACCATATCTTATTTTTATTTTTAGTTTTATTTTTATAACTGATTGATTCCCCTTTTCAAAGATTGCTCCATCTTTTCCAAATATAAAATTTGGAAAAAAATCGTGTCAATTTTGCTTCATTTTTTGCAAAAGTACTCAATGATTTCATTTTGCAAATTGCAATTCTATTTTTGAAGTTGTTGAGATATTAGTCACAAGAATAAAATATGAGTTTAATGCATAAAGACCCTCCATGATATAGAAATTCAGCGCATTATCGTCTTGTGATTTAAAAATGGTCAATCTCTTTGTTTTAAAATTATTAATGCTTAGAACCCCTTTTATGAATAAATTTACAATTTTGGAAATTGCTTTTGTTTATATTATTATTGAATATGCAAGTAAATTTGTCAAATCTCTAAATATATATAAATGCTATTTATTTTTCTCTTGTTTGACAATTAATTCTTTTCATAAAAGAAATTTTGCACATGATTAATTATATGGAGTAATACAAGGGTTTTTCGACAACCAAGCATTCCAACTCAACTGGTTGTGAGGTTACCGTGCATAGAGGGAGATCTCGAATTCGAATCCCGCTAGGCACATAAGGGTTTGAAGCGCAATGGGCTGGGTTTCAGCTTTGATTACTCAGACCCCCTCCCCCAGACCCCCTGGAGTATATTAAAAAAACAAGGGGGTTCGACGCATTTTTTAAATCACAGAAGCTAATAAAATCTGTATATGTTGATCCAGAATTGCTTTCAAAATTTATAAGTAACAAATTTCGAAATAAAATGACAAATTCTTTAGACATAATTAAAACACTTAGCTTGTGAGTTTCCTCAAATAGGAATTGCATCGTTTTCTTTTCCGAAGATGACTTATGCAATTCTATTCCGGATTTTTTACTTTCTTTTTTTTTTTATTTTTTTATTTTTTACTTTCTTTAATTTGATAGGACTAAATAAGTCATAATTTCAAAAGAAAATATAATGTATCCTACTTTAAAGCTTTGAATGTTTTATCACATGTTGGACGATTTATAGTATTAAAAAATGCTGTCACCAACTCATATTATTGGAAGCTTACACTCCGTATGAAATGTGATCGATGTCTATATCTTATACTCCGTATTTAAGAACATTGCAATAACCATATTATTACGATACGCTCAACCCCATCTATTTGATTATTATCATATTATGATCTATAGTTATAACTTATAAGATACTCCGTACTACTAAGATAGATGGATACGAAATTAATACTTCCTCCGTTCTTTTTTAGTTGCAACGGTCAATATTTCACACTTGCCAACGCACGTCTTTGACCGTAATTATATCTTAATCTCTATTAGTAAAAAATATTTAAAAATTAGATTTTGAAAATTTGTAATGAGATGAATTGAACAATACTTTTTTTAAAAAATAATTTTCATAAAATAATAATATAAAATGTAGTCAAAATAGAACATGTGAATAATGTAAAATTCAACATGTTGCAATTAAAAAGAGACGGAGGATAGTAGCAGGGCCGTCTAATGAATTTGGAGGCCCCGGTTCGAAATAGCAAATTGAGGCTCCCTAAGGACCTAAGACGAGAAAATAACACAAATTTTTACAATGAAATACAAATAGACTAGACACTCCAACGAAATATAAGTTTTATGATGTTTAAAGTCCACAAATTAGAGAATCTAAAAGTTATACTACATCTGTCCCTTAAAACTTTGCCAAGTAAAAACTGTGTGGTAGAGGTTTGTGCAGAGGAGATAGAAATAAGGGGAACTTCAAAATATTAATTAAATGGGAAAGTGGCAAAGTTTTTTGGAACGTCCCAAAAAGGAAAGATGACAAAGTTTTAAGGGACGGAAGGAGTATGTATATTGGAATCCTTAATAATATAAAAAAATCTAGAAAAAATAATCTATAACTAATACTGCTCCCTCCGCCCTCATAAGTTTGTCTCGTTTTACCTTTTTCGTCGGTCCCATTAAGTTTGTCACATACCATATTTGGTAATATTTGGATGATTACAATTCATTCTTACTTTATTCATAGTTTATCAATTCAATATTAACCACACAATTTCATTTTTTCTCATATGTTGTGCCACACTCTCTTGTCCCAAACATAGTGGGACGAAGGTACATTCTAAATTTTTGGAGGCCTTCTACAAGAGTAGGCCCCAGTGCGAAGCACCTATTGCACCTCCTAAAAGACGGCCCTGAATAGTAGAATATAAATACGGAGTATATTCCACCGGCCCTTTGGAACCCTAGCCAACGAGCTTCTGGATGAATCTAATCTTCTGACAATGTACACTTTGATGATAATGATATACTATTTTTTTTTTGGCAATTCTGGTAAATTTCACTAATAAAGGCATTTGGTGTTTTCTATCAAATAAATTCATCACAGAGTTTTATTTTTTGACAGAAAAATTCATCAAAAAGTTAGTAATCCTCCAAAACGTATAAATATCTCAAAGAAGCAAGAACCTATTAACTCCTAAAATGGAAAGTTTCCATATCTGGTTTTTATGGAATTGCATTTGACCTGATGTTTTCACATGGAAGTAACTTAAGAATTACCATCAATTCTCTGAAAAGTGAGAAATTTACTATTCAAATAACAGTTCAATATATACTCATATAATGCTTTTTACTTGCATATTAAGAGCCATTTGGTGATCTTACTTCGAGCTTATGACTTTTATCAATTAAGTAGAGTAATTTTATGATTAAATAACTTTTGATAAAAAATAAAATTGAATTGTGCCTAAGTTGGCATAGTAGATTGTAATAATAAAAATAAATAAGCTAAGATTGGACTGTGCCTAAGCCCTAAGTTGGCATAGTAGATGACAATTATAACTATTCTTTTGTACAATTTTCTTTGTTTTATTAATAAAATTTATTTCAAATATAAATTTAATTAATTTCGACAGATTAAACAAATATCAGTGTTAGCAAGCGAGTCTTAAAGTCTCCTCATCCCCGTCCATTTGATTTCATTATTCTTTGTATATGAGTAGTTATTATATAGAATTAGATACGAGTAGAACACTCTTGGTTATGTTTTTTGATACATTTACGTGCGACAGGTATTTATTAGATGAAAAAACTCTATACAAATGCATCATAGAAATGTATCATCAAAATGTAAACCTCTATAAATTGAATAATGTTTGTATGAAAGAGATACCTTGCATGAAAGTGAACAGAAGCTATAAGGGGCCTGAAGAATTCTGTCACATGTAAAACAATAATTGCTAGAGCCTTTGCAAGACCGGGACTGTGCCCTCTGATTTAAGAATATAACTTTGGCACTGTTTATTGTGTAAGGCTGCCAAACAAGGAACAAAATTTAGGAAGTTTTATACTGACTATATGTATAAAAGAATAAGTTACTACCTCCGTTCCTTAAAACTTTGCCAAAGTTGATTGATACGAAAAATAATAAAGTAAAAAATGTATGATTGAGGTTTGTGAAAAAGAGAGTAAATAACAGAAACTACAAAATATTGATTAAAAGGGAAGTGACAAAGTTTTTTAAGATGTCCTAAAAAAACCAATAACAAAACTACAACTTAATGATTTTATTACAACTACATTCCATCCCATGCGATCGTTTTTTCATTTTGGTTTGACCCCAAAGTATTTGTTTCCTTTCATTTTTTTTGTGACTTGTATTATCAATATCTGCCTATTTTTTCACGTAAAGTTAATTAACCATTTTTTTGTTTATTCACCCCGAACATCTTATTCCAAACTAAAGTAATGTTTGGAAATGTTTTTGCTTTAAAAACAAACACTTTTAAAAGAGATTTTGAAAAAAGTGATTAATAGTAAAAGTGAAAGATTTTTTGAGAAAAAATTGATTTTGAAAAGTAAAAGTTGGTAATATTTGGTAAAATATATATTTTTGGTTTAATACAAAACATAAGAAACATATTATAACTTTTAGCTTATAAGTGTTTAATTTAAGTAAAAATTGTCACTCAAAAACATTTTTTTCAATTTTTTTAAGCCAAAACCTGCAAATCCATTTTTTTTTGGGATCGAACAAATCCTTAGGACATAAGGATCGGATATTCAATAATTCTTGGAAGTGTAAACAAATAATAATGGCATAAGACCTATACCTGGATGTAGGAGCAGTCAATGAGCTTCTCAAGGTCATCCAATCTAATGACATCTTGATAGACATACCTCCTTATCTGAGTAGAATTTGAGCATATTCGTATACTAATCAATTTATTTATTTTATGGAAATAATTCCACTCGCATACATAATGAGAATTGATCAATTCAAAATGAAAAAAGGGAATATAATACTACGTACATGTTCCATCCAAAAAAAAAACTACGTACATGTTAACAGTTTTAACTAGAATTGAGGGATATGGCCAACCAGCCTTCCTATTGAGATATTACTAGTTCCATCCATTTATTTTCAAGTAGTACTTTTAGTTAATATCCTTACTGAGCTGATTAAATTAAGTTAAATAGATACAATAAACAATTTCATTATGTTAATAAATTATACCCTTACGTTATACATTGATTTGCAAAATCAACATTTTTTAGTCAATCAATGTTAAATTTAAATCTTCTCATTTTATTAATTTCATTTTAATAATTAAAATTTACATATTCAAAAAACAATATTAAATCTCTATAAAATTACAAATTCCAAATTCAAATATATTTAAAAATAGATATTCTAATTAAGTGAATAAAATGAAATCGTTTGACAAAAATATGTTGTTTTTACAAATCAATTTGAGGTGGAGAGAGTAACAATTTCATAATAATCCCCTTCTTGGCCATTTTGAGTGCATTTTGGAAAATATAAGTCAATGCCTTCCCAATTTTTATACTATTAAAAAAATCTTGAAAATCTATTTAAAAATGAAGAATGACGAATCAAAAACTATTGTCCCACAAATTTTAGTCAAATTTATCTTTTTAATTGTCCCAAACACCATTACTATCTCCATTTAAAATAATAATAACAACAACAATAATAATAATAATAAATACTATGATTAGAGCAGTTTCTCACTCCACAATATAGAATTTGGTCAAATTTATCTTTTTAATCGTCCGAAACACCATTACTATCTCCATTTAAAATAATCTTTCAAAAAAAATCTCCATTTAAAATAATAATAATAATAAATACTACGATTAGAGCAGTTTCTCACTCCATAATATAGATTCAAGGCTAAAGGGTCAAATAGGTACATGAACGAACTTAAAGTGTTCAATTAGCCCCTTATATAGGAGGTTCTGTCTGGCCGTCGCCAATTGGGGCGGTTCCCGGTGGAATTTTTTGATAAAAATTTTTGAGCATCTTCTTCAATTCATTAAGTCTAGTTTACTCATATTAAATTTCAGCTAACAATTAAATCGGGAAGGCAGTCAAATGATTTTCCAAAATGTACTGTGTTGTTTACCTGCACAGTTATCTTCAAAAAATCATTTGACTGCCTTCCGGATTGAATTTTTAGCTGAAATTTGGTATGGATAAACTAGACTTAACGAAGAAGATGCTCAAAAAATTTCATCAAAAAATTCCTCCGGGAAACGCCCTAATTGGCGACAGCCGGGCAAAACCTCCTATATAAGGGGTTAATTGAACACTTTAAGTTAGTTCATGTACCTATTTGACCCTTTAGCCTAGATTCAATTACACAATTCTTACTTCACATTCCCATTACTTTACGTATAATTAAATTTGACCAAATTTTGTGGAAGTGATTGACTATTATAGGTAATATTCAGATAATTGTGCAGTTAAATGCGCAGTTATTTTTCAAGAATTAATTTCAATGTGTTCCCCATTGAAGTTTTAGCTGAAATTTGGTATGAGTAAACTAGACTTGATGAATAAGATACTCAAAAAATTCATCAAAAAATTCTACCGGGAACCGCCCCAAATCGCGACGGCCGTACAGAGCCTCCTATATGAGGACTTATTTGACTTTTTTATGAAAGTTCGATGACCTATTTGACAGTTTTCCCAATATTATATTAACACTTCGGCAAACTAGTCCTATTAAATTGACTTTTAAAACGTAAATTTACTAGATACGGAGTATTTGTTTGTTTGAAATTAAAATTTGTGTGATTGAAAATGAGAAAAATAGGAGGGAAAGGAAGTAAAAGAAATGAAAGGACAGCGAGGTTTTCCATTTTTCGCAGTAAAAGAAAATGAAGGTAAGAAATAATTGGCTCCACATTTTTGTCCTCGAACAAGTGGAACTTGGAAGTGAAATTCATTTTGAATTCTCTAGTTCCAAAAATATCCAATAGCATTATTCGTTATTTAAATTCTCTGATTTCACTTTTCCACCCACATAAACATTACTCCCTCCGTCCCCTTTTAAATGGGACGGGAGATGGTGGCACGAGTTTTAAGAAAAGTGAGTTTCTGTGGTTGATATTAATGGATAAAGTAAGAATAAAGTAAGAATGATTTTGAGCCACACAAAGTTTACCAAATAAGGTATGAGACAATTAAATTAGACCTGTACAAAAACGGGCCGGCCCGCCCGGCCCGCCCAGCCCGCCCCCACAAATTAGCGGGCTTGGGCATATATATTTACCCACCGGCTCGGCCCGGGTCCGGCCCGCAACAACATATGGGCGGGCTTGGGTTAGGGTGTAGGCCCGTTCGGGCCGATAAGCCCGGCCCGCTACATTTAGTATATATACATATATATTTTTTATAGGGAAAATGGAAACTAATAATCCAATCTTTTAGCGGTCTTCTTTCAATAATCCCACATTTTGATTATTCATGAATAATCCAACCTTTGCACCTCATCTTCATTCATTGGTCTCTGGTCAGTTAATGACCTACTATTCCAAGTTATTTTCTTATCTTTCCAAAATATTATCTTTGTGAAAGATGAGATTTATGGTATAATGATTTGCAAAGATAAGAAAATAGCTTGGAATAGCAGGTCATCAACCGGTCAGGGACCAGTGACTGAAGATGAGGTGCAAAGGTTGGATTATTCATGAATAATCAAAAGGTGGGATTATTGAAGGAAGACCGCTAAAAGATTGGATTATTAGTTTCCATTTTCCCTTTTTTATATACTAATTTATGTATTTATTTACATGTACACATGTATATTTTTATATTTACTAATTTATCTGTATACATATTTATAGTTTATTATGTTTAAATTTAAGTTTTTAGTTCTTAACAAATAGTCCAACCAATATAATATCTATTTTTGTACTTAACGATAATACTTTGTGCATGAATTTTAAATTTTAGATATAGTTTCTCATTATTATTTTTGTGTAAATATTTTTTGTGTATGTGTTGAAAGGTCTATATACATTATAAGCGTATTAGCATTTTTTTAAATGTTTTAATATTATTTATAAAGTATTAAATAAATTATATAATTTTGAAAAAATTAAAGTCTTCCCGGGCCCGGCGGCCCGGTGGACTACCCGGCCCGCTCTTACGAGCGGGTATGGACATAGGGTTAGGCCCGTTTTTGCGGGCCGGGCCGGGCCCGCCCACACACGATGGGCAGAAAACTTATGAAAAGCCCGGCCCGAGCCCGGCCCGAACCCGCTTTTGTGCAGGTCTAAATTAAATAGGGACAACCCAATATGGTAAAACGGGACATTTAAAAGGGGTCGGAGGGAGTATGTTTTTTTTTTGTGATTTCGGTTCTTTTACGTTCATGTACTCTAAGAGCGCTTTGTTAACATTGAGATTGGTACGAGAAAAAAACAATGAAATTAATTGAATGGAATGATTAGCTAAAATTTATAAAATTCGGACTGAAGTGACTGAATTGTTTTATTCTGATGATCCTTTACGTTAAATTCAGTCAATGCAATCTGAAAAATAACTCCAATCTTATTTTTTTTTATTACACAATTCAGCCTGTTAAATAAAAAACTACGTGTTTTTGTAAAAAAAATGACAGATCAGTCCAATAAATCGAAAAACAGAAACACTGAACCACCTCTTTTTATAATACTCTATAATAGTAATTAAGATAGTTATTTTACTTATTTAGGATAATCCAAAAGAAAAATAAGATAATTTTTAGAGATGAGGGACTAACTAACTTATTTATGTGTTCACCATTACAAAACTAAACTAATTTAGTTACTAAAATTTCTAGCAATAATTATTGAACTTCGTAAAATGCAAATTTTGAAAACACAAATTAAAGGACTCAAAACTTCATGTATTTCATAAAAATGTATACTATTCGTGAAGTAAATTATGTGTATAATCATTTGTTTTTAATTAGAAGATAGAAGCGTCGATCGGCCCCGGCCCCCCTTTTTTAATCCCCTCCCGGTAATAAGTACAAACACCTTGGGCTAGTTGGATCTTGTATGCATAAAATAATACATAGAGTGTGTGTAAATATATATAGGCGACAAAAAATCCAATATAAAAAGTACACATCTAACCTCATAATTCATTCTGACAAAGTTAGATCAGACTCGTGAGTCGTGACCTTAATATGAAAAGCACATTTATCTATTTAACTAATTACAACAAATGCCCTAGTTACTCTAAACATTACACCAAAAGTCATTGCCTTCCCAAGAAAACAATTAATATAGCAAACTAATGCACTCTTTGTTTTCGTTTTAAGTGAAAAGAATTTAATACACTGTTATTTAATACTTCAACACAATTATAGTCACTAAGGTTACTAATAGCACATTTTTATCCACTAATTTTGTTTGGGTTATATATTTGAAATTAGTTCTATTTTTTATTACGCTCTCTCCCGCACTAAAATTGTCTTATATTTGCATTTCGATTCATTCCATTACAATTGTATGTACCAAATTTAGTATAGTTCCTAATACTATATCATTCTTACTATATTATTACTTTATTAATTTGCTAATATATAACTCATTTTCCTAAATATTTTTATCACCTCAAACTACAAGTAGAAGGATATTTTTTAGGAGATTTTACACTTTTTTCGCACAGAGTGTGTGCAATTGCTTAAAAAAAGCGCTTCTCTGTTTTTGCTTAAAAAGTCACAATTAGTGTTTTCAAGTGACAACTTTTACTTAAAAAGGTATTTATCGACTTTTGTGCCAATTTTTTTTTTTACTTTTTCTATTACAAAATGCACTTATTTATCAAACACTACCAATTTTTACTTTTAAAAATCATTTTTTTCTCAAACACTATCAACTTTTACTACTAATCACTTTTTTTCTAAAATCACTTCCTATTTTTTTTAAGCAGAAGCAATTGCAAACAGAGAATGATATATGACTGCTACAATCGGAGAAATATAAATAACCAGAAAATCAATTAATTTACTTCCTGTACCTATATATGGTTAAACTTTCGCGCTTATCTATAAGGCCTCGTTTCGATTGGCTTCTAATTGTTGGAAATTGGCCAGTTATTGATAATTGGGACATTGGATATGCATCCGGGTTTGGACATGTGTATATAAAATTACAAAAAATCTCAGTTTTAAAAAATCAAATTCCGATTGTTTTCACATGCCATGTATGATACGGATTATTTGTTCTTAACTGAGACAGGGCAAAAAGATAAATATCACATACTACTACAAAATTATTACTATAAATAATGAAGGGCATATCAATAATTTGTATCGAACTATCGATTATGATCATGTTTGATTTTACATTATAGTCATTGTATAGTTAGACTTGTAATCATGTTAGGGGGTCATATTTACCCATGTACATTAGTAAGGGTCGAATCAAAAACAAAATTTAAATTGAACAATTCATATTGTAGATAGAGTAAACATTAGTTTGGATGTATCCTAGAGAATTATTGAACATTAGGACCCTCAACCTCATTGAGAGCATTTTTGTCTTTTTATAAGTTAAGGTACAAAATCAAAGATTTTAAAAAATGAGGTGCAAAGTCTAATTTGGATAATAAAATGGAATGACTCAAATTAACTCATTGAACAATTCATAATGTAGACAGAGTAAACACCATTTTAGATGTATCTCAGAGAATGATTGAACAATTGCCGATCCGCTAATAATAATCTCAACTATTGATTAATTTTGTATAATCTCAACTATATGAACCATCCGCCAATAATGGTCCATGACCAGATATTGTCTGCCATAACAAGTGAATTTTAAGTAGATATTAAGCGTAAAATAAAAAATTGGATTATTTATAGGGATTACTTGTTATATCTCTTTTCATCCACTTTAGAAACTATAAGAATTTACTTATAGGCTTATAGCTGGTCACGACGGAACATTATTGGCGAAAGGTCTCTAAAGTTGGAATTATTATGAACAGACTGTCAATAGTTGGGATTATTACTATCAATTTTCCTTTAATATATACTAGTAACTACATAATTATGTATATACTAGCTAAGTATTATAAGAAGGGAATTAGACGTTATTTTCAAAAATTTGAGAACATATCTATTATGGGGGTGTTTGGAACTGATTCTGCTTCTGCTTCCTTTTTAAAAGCAGAAGCAGAATCAGTTTTCAGAAGCTGGTACCCCCAACTTCTAAAAAACTGATTCTGAGAGTAAATTAGAGCACCAGAAGTGTTTCTGGAATTTCACCCAAACACTCCAGCTTCTGCTTCTGCTCCCTGAAAGAGCAGAATCAGTTTTGAGAATCAGATCCAAACACCCCCTATGAATCAACTTGCACCCGTTTTAAATTTAAACAATACTTTTTTTTGGAGGAATCATTATTTCATAAGAGACATAATATATCAAATTAAAGGTGTTTCAAATCCCAGACCCTTTTTGCCTCCGCCTCTACTCAAAATAAATTTAATCTATCATATTTATATGCAGGAGCGGAGGTAGAGGGCCAACCGGATCACGGCCTGCCCCAAATTTAAAAATTCTTTGTATTTTTAGTCTAAAAACTTATGTGAAAAAAATTATCTGAAAAATTCTTTGTACCGGCCCAGCCCAACCTTCAATCCTAGCTACGCCCCTGTTTATATGTAAAGTTTATTTTAGCAATTGTTTCGAAAAAACTTATGATATTATTATACTACTCCATATATATTATTGATTATAATAATTTCATTTTAATTTAACCAATTCCCATCAACAAATCAATCCAACATCCAAAAGAGATCTTGTTATCCTTTTTAAACTAGTCAGCTATACATTAAAATTAAATTTCAAAATTCAATATTGTATGACATTAATAGCTGGCAGCATGGTTGATTCGACTAACTCTACCAAAATTTGTGAAATCTGATAAATTAAAGAAAAACTTTTTAAATTATGATAAATTAATTGCCTGAATCTGATAACTTTTTAAACTAGGCAGCTATACGACTAACTGCCTGAATCTGATAAATTATGAAATAATTCTATTTAAAATACTTTTTATGAATAAAGTAAAGAAAAACTCATATGAGAAATAGCTAATGTAGTCTACTTTTACAATTTCAACCAATTTAGATAGAAAAATAAGTTCAACCTTAATTATTTTAATTATTACACAGATTAAGTCATGTATGGTAGTTACCTCGACTGACATGCTATGTTAAGATAATTGAATATCGTTACTAGTATATGAAATTAGCTCAATTAATTGATAGCATAAAAATGGTTAAATATGAGTTCAAATTAAGCAAAGAGGGCCGTTTTAGTAGATCTTGGGCTCTATAAATTATAATATGGGCCCCTTAGGGTCTTCCAATGATGTGCATTTTTTCGTTAAACAGTTAAAGAGTGAATTAAATGATGAGTGGTTGAGCAGATAGATACTAGACAGAGACAAAATAGAATTGGGTCAAAGTGTCTATGAAAGCAACTTGTGATGAATTGAACCATGGCTAAGGAGAAAATGGTGCACAAAATAAAAATTAAATATATGAAAATCTTCTAAAAGTAGGGAAGAAAACTTATAAAGCAGCCCCAAAAGTGGGAATAAAATTCAAAAATCCTCCCCCACACAATCCTTTTAGTACTGTAGAATACACTAAAGAATTCAAGATACCTTTTAAAACCACCTGAAATTCTTAAAATTAATTCTTTAATGTTTTAGTCAAGAGAATGGTCCATCGCAGCATGCATTCTCTCCCGTTTGCAAAAGTTTAAGGAATTTTGGTCCCCGTGCTTCATTTTCACAATAAAGAAAAGAACCATTCATTTCTTGTACCCCTCACATTTCCGTTTAAATTATTTAAAGTACTATATCTGTTCAATAACATTGAGACATAAGTAAATGATATTTTTATTGACAAATGTAAATTTGTATGATTGATATTGAATTAATAAAATAAGAATAAATTATTAAGAATGATTTAGGAGCACACAAACTTTATCCAATTTAGTACTCCGTATGAGACAATTTGATGGAACAGACAAAAAATAAAAGTTGATGCAATTTTATTGGAACGAAAGAAGTAAAAAATACTACCTTCGTCCCAAAAAGATTCGTCATATTCATTTTCTTAGTTAATGGTGACAAACTTTGGAAAATGATTTTAATTATTATATTTATATAAAACTGATAAGTTTTTTTTTTTTTTTGAGAAAAGATAAGTTTTATATTTTTATGAAAATATTTTGAATAAAGAATAATTTGATATAATTTTCATATTCAAAATAATTTTATATTAAAAAATATCATTGACCAAAATTGATAGTCATTGATTAAGAAAAGTCAATTTGGCGAACCTTTTAGAGATGAATGGAGCATACGATTACGCAATTTATCTCTTCTTTCCATAAATCTTAATTACACAACATTTACTGTATTATTGTACGTGTCAGTCAAATTTGGTCAACTCTTTAACTCTTTAAGAGACAATAAAAGTATATGAAAATTAATTATCCTTCGTTTATTAATTCTTGAATTCCATCATATGTTTTATACAGAATTCTATAGATATACTAGTACATATGATCGACCCATTCGTATATGGATTGAAAACTGGGAATCATCAAAAGTAAATTTTGGTTAAGGATTATAAGCAAAAAATAACTTTTTTGTGTAGAAACAATTAATGAGAGAAGAAGAACTGAAGAAGAAGGAGAAGATCAAGAATAATTAAGAACAAGATGGAAAAATGTAAACCTGTAAAAGGGGGTGAGATTGATGAGAAGGGAGGCAATGAGGACAGAAGCTTTGACAACAAAGAAGGCAAAAAATGTTCTTTTCGTTCTTCTTCCTACGATGCTGGTGGGCCCCGCACACGGCAAAGAACGACTCTTCCGCCATCAGCCGCTCCAGCCATGCAGGTTTCACACAACTTTCCATCTCCATCTAACCTGGCCTTCTAGCTAACCTAATTCTTCTACTCTACTTGAGATGGGAATTGAGCTGATGTCTGTGTGTGAGCTCTCCTCTATCTCTCTATCTGGGGGGGACTTGTGTTGTTTAATTGGATTGGATACACATAACTAGTAGCAGTTGTTTTGTACATATCGACACCCCCAAACGTATATAAATAATACACCCTTTGCCATTCTAGTTGTGTGGTTTACAATTCACGTAGTCAACTAAAGTCTTAAGTACGGAGTATACCATTTTACTTGTTCCAAAAAGTTGAATTCCTAACCCCAAGGGTTTTTCATGCTAAGAGGGCGTATAAAAGATTGTAAATCATGATAATTCGGTTAAGCACAAACACTAGGTTAATGTCATTACGTACAAGGAGTCTCCCTAACATTGAGAGGTTACTTCCATATCATGGGTCACTTGTTCCAAATCTCATCTGTGTGACCAATTGAGCTACTCATGGGGGGGATATCTCATTTTACAAATCTATTTTAGGTGTATATTTGTTCTATGGAGAGAAAATTAGGCTCTAGCATACAGAATTATTTGTTGACATAAACAATAGTTATCTATGCAGTGACAATTATTGTTCTAATTTTCGTGCCAAATTAGAGTAGTCATGGACTCGGGCCGGGTCGGGTCTAGGTCAGGCCTAGGCCCGGCCGGGCTTTTGATTTTTGGTAGAAGGCCCGGGACCGGCCCGGGTTAACACCGGGTACGGGCCGAGTTGGATCCATGTATTTTTTTTCTTTCTTTTCTTATTAACCCCGACCCCCTACCCCCCACCCCCCAAACCCTCCCAAAACACCCAGCCCAACTCAGGAAAAAGTCCAAAACAATGAAAAAACCAAAAATAAAAAGAAGGCCCGAACCGGGCTCGGGCCCGCCCTTGCCAGTTCCAAAGTTCCAAAGAAGGGGTGAACATGGACCGCTCCACCCTAACCCCCGCGACCGGGCCTAGGCCCGGAACCAAAACCGGTACACCGGGCCGGGCCCACACAGTAGCGGCCCGGACCAGGTCCAACACTAAGTGAAAGTACATTGACGGAGGAACAAGTCAATGTTAGTGTGCAAATCAATGTCTCTACATAACATTAGTTGTTGGTATAACAAATTACGAATCGGTTGATTTGCAATTGGATAATTCAATCAAAGTTTATGACTAAAATGGTGGAAAATGTTCATCTAAAATTTAAGAATCATTCGTCCAACTTTCTTCATCTAATTTCACATCGATTCTTTTATGTTTTTACTATTGTGTCTTGGCAAGATTTGTAACTCATTAACTTGTGTTTCTCATGAACTTTGAATGGTTTGATATCCATTTGTCTAAAACTATATATGCTCAAATGAGTGATACAATGACATTCCAGTTTTTTTTTTAATTAGACGGTGGACAAAAGGCCACTTATCGTGCTCTAGATCTCCTTCTTCATTTTAAAAAGCCCACTTTGTGTTTTGTTTTGACTCTAAAACTTCACAAAAGTCTTTTCAAAAACAAAAGTTCTCGTGAAAAACACGACAAACTAAATCTTAGCTTAGCAAAACAATGCAAGAAGTTGCGTTTGGAATGTGCAAAACTGGTTTTCCGTCACACAGTTAAGTGTGTGGGAATACAGACATATCATACACTAATAGAGACCTCCAATATTTTCACTTCGCCCTCCCCATTGATACGTGTTTTTTCGCTAGTACCTAGAATGAGGTATGTTTGTAACATAAATCAAATTGAGACAATCAGATGATATAGTTTCTTACCATGCAACTAGGTGCTTGCTTAGTTCAGTCTACTCTCATTGTAGATAACTTGTACTTCACTTTTGTTTTAAAACTTTTTTATCTTTCCTTGTTTCCTCTCATTTTTGTTTCTGTAGGTTATTGTGTATGTTCACGAGCTTGCTCATTGGGTCAAGGCCCTTGAGAAGGAGAAGGATGAGCAGGCTACTAATAAGTAATGTTAATGCTCCCAAATTTGTTAGAGACTTCCCGCATATATTTAATACTCTAACGATCAAATGGAAAAATCTCAAGCATGAAATGGTTCGGTCTACTGAGTCCCGTGCTAGTTAAGAAGCTTAGGAAGCTACAAAAGGAGCATGAGGATCATATGGAGGTGAAGGAGATGATTAAAGAAACGAATGAGATCGTGGAGTAGGCAGATATGTTGTTCTTGATGAGCGGAAGAATTCTTTCGTCTATTCCTTGAAGGGTGTGATTAGGTGATGGGGAAAATGCCCACTTGGGTAAAGGATTAGGTGGCCACACCTGCGGGCACTAGCCAATTAGTTGTCCCATCAGGGCTTGTGTCATATCAGTTGGTTCAGTATGCTATGCAACATCATTTTTACCGCCAAGTGGGATGTGATTGTTTCTGTTGTTGGGATAATATAGTTCTTTATAGCCGTCTCAACATTTTTTCTGTTGAGTGCCTTGGCAAAGTATTCTCCCACATGCAATGCTTCCTAACATTACTTGGGAGGATTTGTTACTAAGCTGACTTCATCGCATAACCTCCAAACTTAAGCACTTCTTGCACAATAATGAGTTTGATGTTATTATCAACTTTGTACACCTTATTTTTTTGTGTCCTCCAGCATTCCACAAGCCGTTGTACGGGCTCAATTTTTGTTTAATTCACATTGAATAGGTTAGCGAAGTGCTTCTTTGTATATTGTGCCTTCTGACACAATTGTTCAAAAACTGATTGGCCAATTCTTTTTAGGAGTAATCAGTCTCGTCTTGTTGTTCTTTAAAGCCGACATAGGCATTTTCCTTCAAAATGGAAAGTAAAAAACTGATGCATACATTCATCGCTCATGTAGAGCATATTTGTGCCTCAGTAGAAACGATAAACGTGTTTTCAAAAGTTATTGATCGCCTCATATAACTTAATGTTAAGGGCATTGTACATCTTGATGAGTAGGTAAGTCGTTATGGTTTAGGTCGTAAAAGGCATCTTGGATTTGACCTTAATGAGGTCATCGTTCATGTCAATGGCCTTTTTATGGAGGTCCTACATCAGCTTCACTAGAATTCCAGTCACATCACCTCGGGGATTGGCTGCTATGGTGATAACATGTTCATTTGGCTTAGTTGCCAATGAGACTTTCAGTTGCTCCAGCTATTAAGTTAGATTTTTAATAAGTCGTCTTTCATATCTTCTGTTGAAGTTTATTCCTTCAACCCTCGGGTCCAACACGTAAGCCCAAGAGTTTCGAGTAGAGTGAGTATGAATACACTAGCCCAACTAACAAGTGAGATGGATTAAGAAACTGTAAGTAGCAAGTAAGTGGTTAGGTATTATTAATCTGTTAATAACTCCCTAATACAATACTTTTCGCTAAGGCTCGTCGGCCGTTCGTCTTACAAGGCAGTAGAAGTGCTGCGGGTAAGAAGACTATAATCTAGAGTGCTAAGAATAGAAAGTTGTTAACCCTTTACAATGAAATAAATGTTACTATTTATACTACCAATAGGCAGTTGGCTATACTGACGTGGAGGGTTGTGAATGGCTGGTGCTCCAACCACCAAATCTTCAGCATTAAATGCGCTTCCCGCCAGGATCTGGGTTTCCCGCCTAATTGGTGGGGACGTTCGTCCAGCTGGGGGAGGTGAGTTGCTCCTGGTGATATCGCAAAGGGCATCGGGCCATTCGTATCCTGGCCCTTGGATGATTTGCCATGTGGACTGGGTTGCCTCCAGTGGTTATGGGCTTGATCCGGCGACGTTCGTCGCCATCTTTGTGGCCTGTGGGCCTGATTTACTGCCAACTTGTGCGGATGTTCGTCGGGATGGGCTGATAAGCCAAGGTCTTGGTTACGACGTTCGTCTTCGCCAATTCCCCTGTTGACTTAGCCCACCCAGAAACATGCCTGGACGTTCGTCCGAAATGGGGGGTAAATGGGCCGGCTCCTGTTTGGGCCAATCCCAACACTTCTCTTATTGAACATGAAAATATCTCTGCCTCAAGTGAGTCTACAAGAGGAGAATGAAGAATCTCAATTCTTTGATGAATAGAGATCATGGCACTAGATGCTTAGATAACATGTTTTGAAGAAAGATCTATTTCATTGATAGGGATTCTCGAATTATGTAAGGTCTTTGTTACCTTAGTCTGAGAACATCCCAGCCTCCACAATAGAAGACTATTTGGTTGAAACAAACTAATTTGGAAATGATCACACGTTAGCGTTTGAATACATCATATTTGGTAGCGGTTGTGGAAGCTATACAGGCTACCATTCGCCCTCCAATGATGCAAAAAAAATAGTCTCCTATACAACAACAAATTCAAGTAAATTAGAAGATTTTGCGATATTATTACATACAGTAATACAAATATTGACTTCTTTTGTCAGAATATATTCACGTTCTTCTCTTTTAAAGTGAATAATATGCCAGTTTGCTATTCTAAAGACATTTCCCCAGTGAGAGTTTCTTCCGAGTACCAATTCCGAAGTGCAAATAGCTATAGTTATTACCATTCTCGCTTCTCATGTTCTTCTTCTATCTAACGACAAAGAGGTAGACAAAGCTTGTACTTGCTTTTTTATTCTTTCTAGTCGAGGTGAAAGATATCAATGAATCAACAAGTAAACTACCTCGCCGAACTAGCTTCCGACTAGGGAAAAACGTTTGGTGGTGAATTAGGCTTGATTGAAACCTAGCCTTGAGATGCGTACTTTATTAGAGTAGCAGACTCGGTTCACGCAGAATGCAAGTGACACACTAATCCTAGTCCAAGCAAAAACATATGTCTTTTAAGCCACGACATTATAGGTCCATTGAAATGCTCACCTCTTTTCTATTTGACAACATGTTCTCTCTCCATCTCTCACTCTCTAATTTTACTAATACTTCTCTCCACCAAGGTTAACAATAACACATCATTTGGTGCTTCTATTGACAGTTCACACAAAGAAGTTAGAACATCTCCACTTTACTTATGAAAATGGTTCATGAGAAAATTTTAAGGGTTGTTATCACCAGGTTGCTACTCCCTCAATTCATGACAAGAAGGACTTCGTAGAGACGAGAACCTAGTCCACGAAAGGAAAATGCCTCTAGAGTCTAGACTACCCAACCCTAATAAAGCGACTGATCTTAGAAAGAATTTCATCATAAGAGTCCTGAGCGTAGACAA